TCTTAGTATTCCTTGCCCAAGAAAGCCCCATGAAATTAATGGGGTTGCCTAAGCTGACAGGTGACTTGAAGGCGCACACACACACACACATTTGTGAACAAAAATTCAAACTATTGTTAGTCTGATCAATAATCAATACCACAGAGCATAATTAGGATGTTATGTTATGGCCATTAATTTTCTCACAGGATACTTCCTAAGAATGGATGATGTTAGGAACATGACCTGCTCTCCTGAAGTCACCCACCCTTCCCAAACTCATAACTTCCATATCATACATTTTCCAACTTAGTACTATAACATGGTTCCTTTTAGTAGTGCTATCCTAGGGAAGAAATCCCAGATATCTTCAATTAGTAATCAAAGAGCTGGGATCTCCAGGTGAACACTACAGAATTGAAAGAAACAAGGTTATCTTAGCTAACCTATATTGCACAATTTGTTCTGAGATGCTATGGTCAGATTTAGATCCCTTCCAATCTGCTTTGCAGTCTGATATTCTAGATTTAACATCATGTAGTCACATATGCAAAATTTACATGGTAAATTATTGGAGAAATTTTGAACACCACTTTGAGGGTAAAGTATGTATGCATGTATGCATGCATGTATGTAAACAGTGAGCCCTTGGTATCTGCTGGGGTTTGGTTCCAAGACCACCATTCCTCCTTGGATAACAAAATCTGTGAATGCTCAAATCTCATTAAAAAACAGTGGTGTAATAAAATGGTGTATCCCGTATAAAATGGTAAAATCAAAGTTTGCTGTTTGGAAGTTATATTTTTAAAAAATATTTTCAAGCTGTGCATGATTGACCCTGTGGATAAGGAGGGGCCAATTGTCTCTCTCTCTGTTGCTCCATGGCTGCCTGGGTGTTAACTAAAGATGGCAAATTGGATCAAATTGAAAGACTTGAAACAGTCTCATCCTGTTTTAATCTGTTTGAGCACTGAGATACTCTGCTGAGGTTGTTCTCCAAGTTCTCCCAGTGGGCATAAGAGAGGGAATATTTTGTAAGGTAGTATATAGGAGTTTATCACATGGGATGGATCTCATGCAGAAACTGGATTTAAACTGGGGGAAAAAAACCTGCAAAAGCAGGTAGTTTTTCAGACGATGTTTGGGGTTAACCCGAACAGAAGGTAGAAAAAGCCAGCAAAAGTGAGTTGTTTTTCAGATGACATTAGTGTTAATGAGAATTAACACAACATTAACCCAAATGGAAACTATACAAAATCCACTTTTTACTTTTGGAAAATCCCAAAAGTAAAAAGGGGCAGGTTTCAGGTTCTGTGAGGAAGCTTCCAGATGTTATTGGGACTGCAGGTCCCATAAGCTCTAGCTAGTATAACCAACAGTGAAAGATGATGGGAGCTGTAGCCCAATTTTTTGAAGGCTAAATATTCTCCACATCTGACACAGAGTATGGAACATATATATATGGCTTTCAATGGACTTCATTTTTATCTTGACAGTTTCCAGTTGCTTTTTGAAGTGGGAAATTGTGCCTTATACTTGACTGAAATGACTGCACTGTTTTTTAAACCCATGCTTATTTAACTGGATGGTTGTTTATTCTCTGAATATGTTTGTTGTTCATTTTTTGTATTTTGAAATCATGCTAAGTATTTTACAGACTGAAAAGCAAATTTTAAATGCTAGAAAATAAATACACATGAAATATTTGCTTATTCATTTTATTAGTTACACTTATTTCCCACCTTTCCTTCAACAAGCTCCAGGGAGTGTGGATGATTCTTCTCTTCCATCTATCATCACAACAGTAAACCAATGAGAGAAGTCAAACTGTAGTAAGGGAAAGACCAACCCAAGTTCATCCATGGCTCAGTAGGGATTAGAACAGGGGTAGGCAACCTTTCCCCTTTAAGGGCTGAGGGACTTCAGCTCCCAGAAGCCTCAGCCATGTTGGCCAATAGTCCCATGTTGGCCAATAGCTCCTGGGATTCTGGGAACTGAAGTCCCTCGACCCTTAAAGGGGAAAGGTTGCCTACCCCTGGATCAGAATCTCCCAAGTCCCAGTTCCTTAGATCTCACAATTTATTTTTTTAAAATATTATAGGTGTGTCAATGTTGCATTATTATGAGGTTTTTTTTTAATGTGCAATTACATTTTCCAATCTAGTTCTATTCACATCTCACTGTGTCACCTCTGCTGTTATGGTGTGGCCATTCTGTTGTAGAAAAAAGTGTCTTTTGCAAATGAAAGCGGGATCATTTGTCTGAACAGAGCTTGAGTCAGGGAAAGGATGGGGATCCGTCAAATGGACAGCTCAACTATCATCACCTCTGAAATACTGGAATTGCAAAAAGCTCAATGTAACAGATTCAAACCTAGGACTGTATGGCTAAACAGAGAAGACACATCAGGAACACTAGTCTGACAATTTTCTAATCAGACTTCCTCAAGAGAGCAACAGTGGGATTTTTTTTAAAAAAAAATGCTGATCCACAACAGACTTCTGAAAAGCCAAGAAACAAGTAAACAGCTCACTAAAAGAACAGGAGGCTGTCTGAATAGTAGGAAGCAGTTCAAAACAAGGGAAAAAAATGATAACAACTGTGGCCATATGGTGGCAGAGGCTGCATATACACCACAGAATTAATGCTGTGACACCTCTTTAACTCCATGGCTCAATGCTGTGGAATTCTGGGATCTGTAGTTTTGTAAGATATTTAGCCTTCTCTGTCAGAGTGCTTTGGTGCTACAACAAACTACAAATCTTAGGATGCCATATCATTGAACCATGGCAATTAAAGCAGTGTCAAACTACATTAAGGTAGGTAATGTCTTCCAAGAGGACTGTGGCCACAATATTGCCTAAGCCATGGAAAGTCTACTGTTGAGGTGGCAATGAGTGGAGGTGTGCTGACTTTAATAATAATAACAATAATAATAAATTTTATTTATATACTGCCTTGTGGCGAGCCAATCCAGGCGGTGTACAACAGTAGAATAAATACAGCTTAAAACAATATAATTCCCTCCCCCCCTTAAAACGTTATTAAATCACATCATAGTTAAAACAATTTACAATTAAAGCAATAAAATTAAGAAGAAGATAAGAAAAAAATACAAAAAATACATTCCCTTAAGTCTGACACCACTTTAACCACCATAGCTCAATGCTGCGGAACTCTAGGATTTGTAGTTTTCCAAGGTAAAATCGCCCTTCCGTTTTTGCAGGGGATCCATGGCAATTAAAGTAGTGTCAAACTACATTAAGGTAAATGAGCTCTTTGGGGTGCAAATAACAACATAAACCCTTTTCATATGTAACCAGAAGTAATTTTCATTAGTTTCAATGGCCTAAATCCATTCATCCCTCCAGCACTTTATTTATATTCTACCTTTCTTCCAGACTCAAGGCAGTTTACAAAAAGAAAGAATACAATAAAGCACACACACAGTTGGCCTTCCAAATCCACAGATTCTGTTTCCACTGATTAAACCATCCAAGACATATTTTTTAAAAAGTCCAATAAGCAAACCTTGATTTTCCCATTTTATATAATTAAACACTGTTTTACTAAACCATTGTAATAGTAGTAGTAGTAATTTCTTACCCGCTGCTCACCATGGCAGGGAACAACAAATTAACGAATGCAAATCTGTTAAAATTACACATCAATTAAAAAGCACAAATAAGACATAAATATTAAAACAATTTGCATTTTTAAAATTCATCATATGAAATTCACAATTTAAAAATCATATGGATAGGCCTGCCAGAAGAGACTGGTCTTTAATGCTGTTTTAAATTTGGACAGCACATTCATCTATTGAATCTCTTCTGGCAGGTTGTTCCACAGTCTGGGGCAGCTGGGGGGAAAAAGTCCTCTGGCTGACTGGAGTAAATGTTCCTCAGAAGACATGAGTATACAGGGAAGAATATACAGGAGGCAGTGGTTCCCATAAGTAATCTGGACCAAATCATCAAGGCTTTAAAGGTAATAACAATTTCTATCTTGTATGTAATAAGCCTTAAGCATCCATGGATCTTTGTATCAGGGTTGGTGGGTGGGTCCTGTTTTAAAAACATACAAAATAAAAGACTGAAACTGTTAAATATCAACAAAATTAAAAGCAATTAAAATCTTACTTTAAAACTGATTAAAAACAGTAGAGCACCATACAAATAACTTTGGTTAAAATCAGTTTCCAAAAGCTCGCTGGAAAAGAAAGATCACTTGTTAATCTCATCTAGAAGAGACCCATTGAATCAATGGAATAACAAGTTCCCATTGATTTAATAGGTCTGCTTCAGTTGGGACTGAAAATTAGATTTAGGCCATTGGGATTTACTTTTCTCTGGAATTCAGTGCCATTTGACATCTGCACCTCTCCCTCCTCACAGTGACATTTAAAATTGTAGCTCTTTTTGCAAGTCTTTAACCTCAAATGTTTGTTCTCCCTTCCCATTGCATTCCCTCTTTTCCATTAAAGTCCTTTCCCCTTCATGTTTTCCTGCAGACTGTACATGTGCAAAGAGTTTTTATCTATAAAGATATAATTATTGTATAGTACCTAGCTGTTGATATGCATTATTGTTATTGTTACCTGCCTGGATAGGTTGGCACTGCTCTGCTAGATTCTAAAGTATAAAAATAGAAAATAAACATTATTATTTCCATTATTATTTCACTTGAGCATACAATGGTGCTGGAAAAGAGCCATGGTATTACATAATTACCCCATTGGTCATGTGCATATATAGCTGCCCCTCTGTTTTTACAGACTTCAAGTCCACAGTCTTGGTCCTTCATGGACTGGCAAGCTCCATTGGTTAAAATGGTGTGCGTGCTCATGGTACACGTGCACAGCTGTGCGCACTTGCACATGGCCATTCAAGCCAATGGTGCTTGAATATCTGCAATTTTCCATTTTCGGGGGGGGGGGAAGGTCCGGAACGGATCCCCCACAAAAATAGAGGGGCAACTTTAGTAATCAAAAATTTTAAAAGGCAGTCATACAAAAATGTGCCAATGTGGCATAGTGGTTTCAGCATTGGACTATGACTCTAGATACCAGGGTTTGATTCCCCACTTGGCCAGAAACCCACTTAGTTACCTTGGGCAAATCACATTCTCTTAGCCTCAGGGGAAGGCAATGGCAAACCTCCTCTGAACAAATCTTGCCAAGAGGACCCCATGATAAGTTTGCATTTGGGTCACTATAAGTTGGAAATGACTTGAAGGCACACAACAACAAAAGTGTGCATAGATCCACTTTCTTTAAGATGTACTTTTTCATAGGTTTATCATTAAGGGAAAGTGTGTCTAGCAGGAAAAATAAATCAGATAAATAACACACGTTATTGGATTTGCTACCAAGCTTTATTCAGTAGTTTTAAAAACCGAAACTAGGGTGATGTTTTTCATTTCATAATTACAAAACTGAAGCTACAGTAATATTTTTCTTTTTATATTTGCAAGAACCTTTTTGGGATAGCTTGTTTCCAATTGTGCTATACTGTTAACAGTCTAGATGCCTTCTGTGAAACACTGCGTATTTATGCATTGCTATACATAACTATAGAGAGCCAGTGTGGTGTAGCAGTTTGAGTGTTGGACTATGACTCTGGAGATCAGGGTTTGATTCCCTGCTTGGCCATGGAAACCCACCAAGTGACCTTGGGTGAGCCCCAGAAAACCCCATGATAGGGTTGCCATAAGTTGGAAAGGACTTGAATGACAAATACATAGCTACACACTCATGTTGTTCAATATATCACACACTTGTTAGCCCACACATATAAACTCTCTGCTACAGATGGTTACCAGCTTTCTTATCCACAACTACTTATCCACATGCACTACCAGTTGAGTGCACTATCTTTTAAACAGAACAAGAACTTGAATGGTCATGTGGTCCTTTGATCTAAGGCTATTTCCTGCACTTGTTGGTGAAGCAAAGAGATCATGCAACAAAAAAGGAGACAGCCTAATTGTTTCCACCAAAATCTTCCAGCAGAGCAATGCACTATTGTGATTCTCCTGTACAAGTGACTTTGTTTTTATTAGAGTTGGCTGCTTTAGCAGCTGGAAAGTTCCATTAAAAGTATATGTTGCACATATACTACCTTACTGACCTGTACCACAAATCCTTGTGTTATAATAGTCATATACCCACAGTCTCAGGGAAAGGGTTCATGGGCAATCCACAGTATGTGTGCTCCTGGATTCACTGTGGAGCTTTTAATTCTAAATGACTGCCGATATAGAAAAGCTGTATCCACCATCTGTGACCACTCTTTCTTTTGACCAGATGACTAAAGTGCATGCTCTCCTTCTCTATCTCCCTCAATCACACACACAAACAAACATATAGAGAGACAAACACACTTTTTTTAATGTCAAGCCCAGGCTCTTATGCTGTACACGGAGAAGTATTTGCTTATTTACTTGTTTGTTTATTAAAAATATATATACCATCTTTCAGCTGTGTCTCCAGGATGGCTTACAAAAAGAATAAATAATAAAAATCAAATTAAAAAGTAACAATTACAAGAGATTACTGTTTAAAAATTTCAGCTGTTACAGAATATAAATAAGGATGAAAGCAGGATAAAATGACACCTGTTCTGTAGCACTATAGAAATTCCCCAGATTGGAATTTACAGCTCTCTAGATGTTGCCAGACTACAGTTCCCAGCATTAATCACCAATGGCTTTGTTCAACTGTAGTCTGGTTACAGATTTGGAAGGCTGTACTTTGCCCACTCTGTCTTAAGCTCTCTCTGGCTGCATTTGTACTGCAAAAATAATCCAGTTTGACACCACTTTAACTGCCATGACTCAGTACTATG